GTATGGGACATTTCTGGTTTTGTGGCACATTTGATTGGTAACAACCAACAAAACTTAAATGAATGAGATTTCAGGTGTGTAGTTACTTTTGGCCACAACTGAGCATTCAAAATGCACAGTTTCGCTCAAACAGAAGTTAACAGGGGGAATATGTTGTTGATATGAGGTGTCTAAAGAAATGAAGGAAGAATGCAGATAACAAATATCCTTTAATGCAATGAAACAAGTTCTGCATGTCAAACCACAGCAGCTACTTCCTGTTGATTCTAGTATGAAGCTGAAGACTTTTCACCATAGTGAGTTCTGGTTTGGCTAATGTCATGTTCATGTTGTGAGAAAACGTTTGCTTGGTGCTCTGTGGTGAAGTGTGTCAGACTGCACTGAAAAGGGGGCCATCTCTGTGGTTGTGCACCTTTGACTTCAGACAAACACCTACCAATTTTATGCAATCAATTCTTGTTTCTCACCAGAGGTGTAAAGAAATGGGAGAAAAACTGAAAACCTGCTGCAAGTTGCAGAAACTAAAACCTAATCTTTGCATAATCAAATGCGCAAAAAAAAAAAGGTTTTGCCACAGCTGTGTTACCTGAGCTATTTTTCTTCCACAGAGACTGACATAGCTGTAGTCTACTCAGCAGTGAGAACTAACAACATAATTTATGGACAAATAGACGTCACAGCAAAGAGGAAAGGAGGTACAGCTGCTGTTTATCTTAACTTTGGATTGAGACATATTTCTGGGCTGGGTCTTTCTGTGTGTTCTCATGGTCACAGTCCAAACATGGAGTTAGTGGGGTTGGGTTAATTGGAAACTCGAACTTGTGCACCACTGCTTACTGTTACTTTCTGCTGCCTCACTGCTCTCTTACCCTGTGAACACAGCAAAGAGATGGAAACAGGGCTGGACTGGTAATCTGGCATACCAGGCATTTTCCTGGTGGGCAGATGCACTTTTGGATCGATGGGTCAATTGAAAGCCTATTGCACATCATCTCTACATGCACTGACAGCAGTCTGTTTGTAAATTTTCATTACTGACACTGTATTGCCCAATCACATCACTGAACATCTTCGGGCCCTCCCTTACCGTTGCTGCTCATGCAGAAGACAGATTTTAGTGTGGAAGAAGTGAAGGAAAGTTAGAGCTGAAAAGCTAAGAGAGACGAAGTAACCAAAAATAAATGCAGCACAATGGGTCAAATTAACTGGCTGTCAGGGCTGCTGCTGCACCATCAACAGGAGTAAAAGCAACGACTAGTAGCAAGCCCTAACAACTAAGATCTCCAAGAACATACAGAGGAGATTCTACACTGGTGTCATTGAGAGCATTTTGTGCAACAACATCATGGTGTGGTACGGGAACTGCCCTGCAGAGGGTTGTGCGCACAGCTGAACGCACTATGGGAACACCTCTACCAGCACTGCAGGACATCTACGCTGAAAGGTGCAGTTCCCGGGCCATCAGGATCACTAGGGACTCCAGCCATCCAGCCCATAAATTGTTCAGGCTGCTGAGGTCAGGGAAACGCCTCTGTAGCCTGAAAACAAGAACAGAAAGGTTCAGGAGGAGTTTCTACCCACAAACAGTGAGACTCCTCAACAAAAAACGCAAACCGGATAATATGCTGGACAATCTCACACATAGTACATAATTCGCACTTTACTTTTTTCTTTCCTGAACCTTATCTTATCTTATCTTATTTTATCATATTATATACATTTGTACTTATGTAAATATGTATATTTTTATATTTTTATAGTTTTTTCTTTCTCTTAGTTTAGGTAAAAGTTTTTTTCTAGTATGTTTCTCACAGTCGGGGGGAGTATTTTTTAGCCAGGAAAAACATTTCACTGTATGTTGTACTAGCTATAACTACATGTGACAAATAAATAAAGAATTGAATTGAATTGAATTAACAGTCACATAAGGCTGTAACCAAAGACGAAGTAACCAAAAATAAATGCAGCACAATGGGTCAAATTAGCTGACCAGATTAACTGGCTGTCAGGGCTGCTGCTGCACCATCAACAGGAGTAAAAGCAACGACTAGTAGCAAGCCCTAACAGTCACATAAGGCTGTGACTCCATCCATTTTCTTAGCACCTGTTTAGTCCTGTGGGAGCTTATCTCAGCTGTAAGGCAAGAAGATGAAAAAAAACTGGAAAGCAAAATAATTCTGGTTGATAAAGCTCCACCCAGTAGTGAAAAGATTCATGGTTCCTGTTTATACATGTCACTGCTCGGCCTGTCTGACAAATATTCTGTGAGAAGCTGGGAGCAGCAAAAGCTTTGACTTTTAATGTCACTGAGTCTAGTTGATGCAAACGTTTCAGCTCTGTGGGTTTCAGATTTGACTCTAGCTGCTTCTTGAAATTCACAAAAGTGTGGGCGGTATAGAAGCTCTCTAACTTCGGTCTGAGGTGGTTCCCAGTAAAATCTGAAATGTGTGACACAGATAGCTGAGATTGGAGGTGTTGACTGAATGACAAAGCCTGTAATCACGTTTCCTGTTGTTTGAACTGTGTGTGTTTGTGTTCAGACTTTAAAACTGAGAAAGAAGTCGCCCCAGAAGTAGTCCACTAGTCCAACCACTGACGTCCAGCTGCTGGTCTCTAACTGGTCCCTCCAGCACATCAATCCGGAGGTCATCCATGTATTAAAAATATTTGTATATGTTTTATGTCATTTTATTAGTTATTTAGTTATTGAACATTTAACGTTTTAACTATTAACATGTTTTGTGTTCTCAGTAACTTTACTATTGTATAAATGCTATTTAAGCTTGTTGGCTTTTCCTCCCATCGTAGTGATCTGGTTTCAGTCAAATTATTAAACTTTTGTTTTCCTCGTGTGGTTCTGTGGGTTTCACCAAGGTGCAGATGGAAAATTTGACTTCTTCCGCTTTGGTTGTGGCTAACCAAAACTCACCTTATTTTACTGCAGAAAACAAAGAATAAGTATCAAACCACAACAGCGGCAACATTACATGAATGTAAACTGCACAGAGACGCTTCAGTGCTGAGTGTGTGTCAAGAGTTTTCATGTCTTTATTTCCTGTGTCACACAGAAACCGCCAGCAGCAAAAGAAGTAAATACATCTAATACCAGCTTCTTATGAAGTCAAAATTGTCTTGTTTGTCTGCTGTTCAGACAACAACAATAACAACAACAGCATAAACAAATTTTCAACAACTTAACTTTAGACTTCAGAAAATAATTGCAAGTATTTTATAACTGTGCTTCATTATAGGCATAGAGGAGAGTAAACCTGTCAGTAGACCACCATTGTTTTTATTTTTGTTTTTGCAAAGCATTATTTTATCTATTGTTTCTCCTTCTGGGACTCAGTCAAAGCTCCTGAAGCTTATTTTCTAAGTATGTCTTGTGTGAAAAGATTATATAAAAACAAAACATGATATTTTGGAGCCATTGATTGTCAGCTTAACGCAGAGAATAGGGTTATAAAAACACATTTAATGTCAGTGTCTTCATCATATTATCCATTAGGCTGGTTTACGTCTTGTGATCCAGCACAAAGACCCACCTCTTGGATTATTTTAGAATTGCCCCTTATGGAGCTGGTGTGGAACATTTTTTGGAAAAAGGTCTGAAATAGTGATACTCGTGGCTTTCAGATGTTTAGCACCCTCTGGAGGAAGATGGAGGATACTCACAAAAAGCAAAACTGTTGTCTTTTGCTTTCAGACTGGTGACCGGGGTAGACTGGCAATCAAGGATGTTTTTCCCAAGGACATTTTAGAAAATGTTTAATTCACTTACTGGTAAAGTAGGTAAAGAGTTTTCTATACACTCAAAGATGAAGTGAAAAAGTCGGTCACTATTGGAGAAAACATGGTATTCGTGTGATGAGCAAACAGCAATCTCCAAAAGTTGATTCTGTTCATCTGGACGTAGCATTTTGTGGGAGAAACGTTTCGTCACTCATCTTCAGTCTCAGCTGACTGCAGGTTTCCCCAGTCTTATAAACAGTACATTTGCATAATGACTGAAACCAGCCCACTGAAGGAACAATGGACTCAAACCAGCGTTCCTCCCTGTCCAAGATAGGATAGCAAAGCCCTCTTTTCCACTTCTTCCATGTACAAATTGGCCACAATGGGTGAAACTGGGGAGCCCATGGCACACCCATGTTTCTGCCTGTAGAATTGACCCTTGTATGTGAAGTAGGTGGAATGAAGACACAGTTCCAGAAGCAAACACACTCGGTAGATGCTGAGAGTGGTCCTGTTGCTGAGGTTGGTGTCATCCTGTAATCTCTTACGAACTACCTCCAACACTTCCCTGACTGGGATGCAAGTGAAGAGAGATGTAACGTCGTACGAGACCATGGTTTCATCTGCCTCCATAATGACATCGCTCACCTTTTCAACAAAATCCAACGTGTTCAGAGCTGCCCACTAGCGGGTTGAGGATCGAAGCCAGAAACTTAGAGACGTTATAGGTGACCGAGTTGATAATTCAGACAGTCGATCTTTAAGGTGCACCCTGTTTATGGACATTCACAGTAATGTTTCCAGCTTTTCCTGTCCAAGCACAAAGTATCTTCACAAAGAAGCTTAACTACTTAGAAGCTGAGAATCATACGGGGGGATAGATGTTGCCTTTGGGTTTGAAAGTCAAACTGTGGAAGTCTTTTACAGAGCAGAGTGAGAGTGCTTTGCAGATTGGAAGCAGCAACAAGGAGTTGAGGTTGTTGCATTTCTTAGATGTGCCAGTTTTCTTGGCTGTAAATACATGACAGTATAATATTTATGATTTTTTTTTCTCATTTTAAAAAATGTTTCTGAAATATAACAGTGTGATCCTAAGTGGATACCACTGTTATATCTTGGACACAAGGAAGTCAAATCAGCTCCCTCTGACCCGTATCAGTGGAGAACAAAGTTACTAGAACTTCCTGCACTAGAACATGAAGTATGATAATGAAATACTGTGCCATAAAAAAGACATAAAAACTATATCAAATATGAATGACTTTTTTATTTTTAACATCCACAGTTTAGTACAACTACAGTAAGTATATTATTACAGTTCTGTGAAAATGTTGTAAATTTTGAGCATCGGGAGCTCCTAAAACTACAAATGAAAAATGAAAGCGATCATTCTTTCTGCTTTTAATAGCTCAACCCCTCCTAATAACCTTTGTTTAGCTTCTCTCTGTATCATACCTTGTTACTGGCCTTCACATGGCTGATTTATTTTGTGCATTTTCCTCCTTTTTGCCTGTTGGTGTCTGCCTTTTGGTCATGTTGTCGGTTTTACATGAACAACATCATGACGGCGACTGCTCAGAATTCCCGAGCCTGTCCATTTCTGTCATCTGTCTTTCCCTGAAGGCTCAGCGTGAACACTGAGAGCTGCAGGAGAGTACTGCTTGAAAAACACATCCTGGCATTTCTGCATGCTGCCGTTCAGCACAAGATTAATGGGGATCCTGTTTCTGTTTTTGTTTATGTATCATGAAGATCACATAAACAACAATCCCAACATATACAAGAAAAACTACCAAGCAAAATATAAATTGGCGAAAGTAATCCTCCTTCCCTCCATCCTCTGTGTCTCCTCCTGGCTGACCTGCAGGTGAGAAACAGGTGTGAGGTGTCAGCTGTCAGGTAGGTGATGAGTGAAGAACAGAATCCATTTGCTCTTCAAACTGCTGTCAGACATTATCTACTGCACTCTGATCACATCACTCAGACCAGCTGCTTTCTACAAAGTCTCATCAACAACATCTTTAGAAACAAACATCAACAACCAGGAAGCAGCTTCACCTCTGATCACACACACACTCAACTCTACTCACTCACCTGGAGGATCAACAACTCTCAGGTAGATGATGCTGATGGGTTTCCATGAGTATGTTTCTCTCATGATTATATGACACTCGTATGTTCCAGCATCATTAATCGTCACATCCTTCAGAATCACAGACACGTCTCCATCCTTCATCTGTCTGTCCTGCAGATCCACCCGGTTCTTAAAAGATGGATGCTGCTCTTCTGGATCAGACTGCTCATCGCGGTACAAAAAGACATAATCTGATTCCAGGTCAGCTCTGCTCCACTCTACAACTATGATGTTGTTGTTTGGAGCTCGACATGGTAGAGTGACAGCCTGTCCACTCTCAGCTGTGATGATTTTCTGGTCTGAAAGAGGAAACAACACAGAGCCAATCAATGTGAGGATCAGAGAGATAGAAAGTTTTATATTTTCAAATTGCATCCAAATCCTCCTTATAGCAATTTCATTTATACAAAATGTAAAAAATATTTATGAGAAGGATCCAGTTTACTTAATGAGCAAATAATTAATAGATGGAAAATGGAGCGAAAGCACACTGGGAGCTTAAAATAAAACACTAAACATTTCTGAGCTGAGAAAAGGGGATTTTTTTGTGTGTGATTTCAAACTTCAGTAATAACACTTTAAACCGCAGCTTCATGTTGGAAGCAAACACATAGTAGCTCCGCAGAGCAGCTATTATCTGCAAGTAACCAGAAGAACAAGGCAACATAGATATTAAATACCTTACAAACTACAAATATTTCAGAGGGTAGCATGCCATTGTAACTTCCACATTCATACATGTCTTCCACTAATATTCCAGCTGTAATTAAGGCCGGGAAAACTTCAAGTAAAAATATGTCACTGAAAATAATCACATCGTGCCTTTGAAGGCACTGGGATCAACACACATTCAAGCAGGCACTCTACAAACAAGGTGGGTCTCACTACTAATAACAATTACTAATTAATAAGAGCTCTACAATAAAGCAAAGTACAAAGGAGTATTCGCACCACATTAAGAAAAAAAATATTTTGGGGGGAAATAAAGTCCAAAACATGAACATAGTCTCCCATAACGTGCCTTGTGTGGATAAGTTAATGAACTCCTACTTTAGAATCAGTTTTAGTAACAACTGATGCAGTTTGGTAGAATAAAGAGGATATCTGTTTTTACAAAGTCTTATACACAAGGCATTTTGTAGAGGGTATAGCTACTGTGGCAGTTTGACATGAAACAACAACTTTAATCTTCACGTTTCAACTTTTTTTCAAAACATTTTTTTTTCATGTGGCTCTAATACTCAGTCACAGCAACCATTTTTACCAGGGGTGATTCTAGTTTCAAACATTTATGGGGGCTCGGTTCCCAGTCATTATGTCATGCACACACATGTCCAGTCTTTAAAGAAGTTAAAGAACTATTTGTAGCAAAGGAGATACGATGAGAAACATGTACAACATTCAGTCTCATTCACATAGAGGCAGTCCACCAAATCAATCTCTTGAAGTAGCATTATTAGCACTATTAAAATCATCCTTCTACTACACAGACCTGTACGCAAAGCAAACTTGCAATAGAATTACCTTCTATTAAGTTTTTGAATTCATTCAAACCCTCCCTTTATTATAGAGACTGAGCACAGAGCATCATGAACCCCAATTTCACGAGTGGAAAACAGATTTGTAGTGACATCGATGTAGTGGCAGCCATCCTGTCCATGTTTAGAGAGATATGAATCCTGTTAAATGCTGCTATTCATGTCAACATGCTCTGTTTAGGATGTTCACTTACATTTTTCTTCAGTGTGTTACTGGAAAACACACAAAGCATGAAAGACATGAAAAACTACTTTGTGAAAAATGACTTGTTTTTCCAGCTAACTTCACCACCTGCTCCCTCATTCTTCCTGTTCTTGTACAACCTCTCTCTCCATACTCCTCACTCAACTAGAAACTAGAATATGACGAAAATATAATCTTATAATAATTATTATATGTATGTTGTAAAGCTACAGCTTTACAATTTTGGAGAATTTGACTACATATCCACTCTTATCTGTTTCTTTTTGCTCTCTCCCTCTCTGTCCTCCTCTCTCAGACTCTGTCCACCCAAATGTTTAATGTCACATAAACTCCATATCAGTTTTTAAATTGAATACAGATTACTGCTGAACACAGAAAGGTAATGTTTTTTGTTTTTTTTTTCATTTTGACTTGCTGTTACTTGGGTCTGGAGCTGAACTATAAAAAAACAACCTAAGCCAAATTTGAAAAGAGGAATAGAAATTTTTAACAAACTAAAACAATGATGCACATGAGCTCCGTGGCTGGCAACCATGTGTAAAGATTGATATTCTGTTTACCCTTTTCCCCACTCTCCCTCACCTCGCCATACTTACCCTGTTTGCTCTCTTGACTTTCTCATCACTGATTGGTTCTTGAGTTTCTGTCATTAATTAAACTGGGCTAACACACATTATATAAGGACCTCGCTCCCTTTCACACACTCTTTTTTTATGCCAACATGGGACTGCAGCTGAGGTGAGTTTGATTTGTTCTTCTCACCTTAAATATTTATGTTTAAGTTAATAACTTTAAGCCCAATTTGGTTTTCCCTTTCAGTGTTTAGCAGTCAGTGTTGATTTAAGTGAAATAAATCCAGACATACGGCAACTAACTGATAGTTGTTCTCTGTGCATTCTGGTGATAACAACTCTAAGATGTTGTTATCACCAGTGATGTTACAGTGAGCCCGCACAGAGGCGTTGCTGCTTCAGCTTGTCATTAACAGGCTAATACGACTGCAGCAGAAAGAAGATGCAGAATGAATTTCATGACACAGTGATGCAGATTTAAAACACTTTAACTGAAATATACTGTAGCGACTTCCACAGTCGCTAGAGGCCGGGGATGAAGCCTGCCTATTTGCCTGACGCGCTGTCAACTTACGCAATAATGCCAGAGCTGGAATTGTTTGCTTGTTTATTAAAGTGCTTTGAGAGTTTACAGAGTAATGTCATCGGCTCCTGATTCAGACTCTTACAACGTCACAGGCTCTAATATAACGAAGCGAAACATGTTGTGCAGCGGTCAACAAAAACTACGGCTACCCAGCCCTCCTCTCTGTCAAAATCAAAACCAGTGAATGACAGACTGACAACGCCTATTTATGTCACCGCTAGCACCCACGTGACTCCCATAACAACCAAACAAATAAAAACCCAGTGATCATCAAAATTCAATACATTCAATTATGGCTCCTACATATACCAAAAGTTCAAACGGTTGTGATAAACGTTGCCGTTACTTACAAAGTATCTGTTTATTTTTATTTGTTCTGTAAATAGCATCAAAAAAGTTAGCTGATGTAATTTAAATCACTCGATATTAGCTAGTTTAAATCTTTAAATCCCCTAGTCTGCTGGTATTGTTAAATAGGAGGTTCAAAGAAAAGTTAAAACGTCCTAACGCGGAAGCGCAACAATTTGTGACGCACTTGCTAAACTGCAAGACTTAATAAAATCAAGACAAAAAATCGGACAAAAAAAATTAATCGTAAATTTTAGTGGCACATTTATTCGGCTAATTAACTCCTTGTGTCTCAGTGTCAAAAGAAGAAACTACACACAAACACATTTCCAGCGTAACAAACGTAACCAAGTTGAGTGGCCAAAAAATTGCCTCAGCCGTTCCCCTCTGCACCTACGACAGAGAAGAAAGGCTTTTTGGTTTGAAATTAAAGACAAATCTCACCTGCACGGATTGAAACGAGGAGGCAGACTGACAGCACATTCCTGATGAGCGATACAGACGTTGCAGCGGACATTTCAGATGTAGGTCTGCGGGACGGGACACCGGAACTTTATGCGGATAACAAAAAATATATTGTCCCCTTGTCACAACTAAATTAATTGTAAGTTTTGAAATAGAGCAAAAAACACACTGACCACAATGGATCCGTTTCGGTTACCTGGGCTTTAAATATACGCTGATGACGAGCACAGATCTGAGATCAGTGTTATAAGCTACGAGGACGAGCCTGGGAATCAAGCAGGGTAGAATTAAAAGCTGCTTTACTTTACGAGAAGAACATCTTTGAATATCCGAGAATAGAAATAACAGTTCCATTCAGTTATGTTCAAGTTATGGCCAAAATAATCACTTCTGTAGTAGCGGCCGGTAATAAACCAGTCCGCATAAAGGAACCGTGCTCTTTAATGAATTCAGCACAGACTTTACATCGTACAGGTAACAGGGAGACACAACAAGTTATCCATCTAACTATACTCTAACTCTAAAACTTTACCAACTCCACTTTACTCTTATTTCACGACACCACCCTCTAGTGGTGCAATATGGTACGATCATTGCAGGACACAACGTCTACTCTCTCTTTATGAACAGAGTTCACCAAATAGCGTAGTACAGAAATAAAGTAATTCACTGTTTAGCAAGTCACACATACACTTGTGAACTTAAATGCTGCAATAGTTATAACATCAGATTACTACAACTAGCAAAGCTTAATAAGCCTGAAACTATATTGCACTCCTACGTAAAATGAAAAGAAATTATTATTCCAGTTTTTCCATGACAATTTTTTCTTAGTGCATTGGTGGCAGAAAATCAGTTCTTTTTAAACCCAAGATAGAACAAGTAATAACGTTTCTCTAATGTTCTTTTTCCAAGCAACCTTTTATGGTACAATATAGTCAGCGAGGCTTGTACCTGACGCGCGGTCTTCTGGCAGTAGGTGAACCAGTAAGAGTGTGGTGCTAGCAGTGTCAGCGTTCTTTTCAGTCACTGGGTGACAGCGTGCTAGATGAGTGGCATTCCAAATCTTTCCATCACTCAGCAAGAAGGCATTCAAGCCTTTGGCTTTTTTTTCTTCTTTTTTTTTTTTTTTGCCTGTCCCGTTTGGCTCTTTTGTCACTCAGAATTATTGTCTAAAGGCAAAGAAAGATGCCCAACGGATTTACTTTACCAAATTGACCATCCCAGACTTGCCGTAATGGTCTATTTGATTCACCTTTTATTGTTTATTTTATTTATTTATTTTATTTTCACTTGCTAGATACGGGACAGACTTGAATGAGGAAAAGAAAAGGGAGAAAGGAAGAGGGGGGAAAAACAGCGGAGAAGAGGGACGGGGATAAAGGGCTAAAAAACAAAAAACAACTAAATAAGCAAACAAAAAAAATCCATATATCGATCACCTGGATCACCTGTTGAGAAAGAAAAAAGAAAACAAGCAGAAGAAAACGAGAGCAATACAATAAACAACATCACAATGATATATGGGAATATGACAGTAAATACTAAATATTAAACATTATTGTGCAGCACGTAAGATCAACAGCGCACAGTGTGCTTTGAGGTAGGAGCCAAAAAGGGTGTAGTTTGTGTGTGTGAGCACCCGTGTGTACACCTGTGAGCATGGACGCGCTTGTTTTTAAAAGGTTCCTTCATGTAATGATCTGCTAGAGGGTGTGGGGGGGCCACAGCCCCGTCCTCCAGGGCATGAAGCAGGTATGGAGGAGATCAAGACTCCAGACATCCAGAGGCCCCCAGAACACAAGAGACCAAGGAAGAGCTCCCCCGCTGACCCCAGTAGACCTTTGGCTTTTGTTACTGTTACAGGAGGGGTAAATCTGGGATGTCCTTTGGGAACATGGTGGGGTTTCCTTATCCTCACACTCTTTCCTTTCCCCAATCTTATAAACAGTACCTTTGCATAATGACTGAAACCAGCCCACTGAAGGAACAATGGGAGGTCAGTTCCTTGATCGTTAGTTAATCAATTAACCACTGACCAAAGACCACTGATCAATGGCCATGAGCAGCATTCACAGAGAGTTGGGGAATGGCTGCAATCACAGCATTGTAAGATGGTGACAGATGTACCCTGTCAGTTCCTTAATCTTAATTATGCAAATTCTCATGACAACTTTTGGAGATTTACTTTCCTGGATGATTGAGAATGTATCAAGAAGCAAACAGCAATGTTACCATGTTAGTATTAATGTACACTAACACCAACCTTTGCTCATAACAATTAACAATTAAAGCTAGAATTTAAGAGAAATCATCCTTTGTCACATATGAGGCCAACATTTAAAGTGGAGCGCTTTCTCAATATGTTCTTTAATACATAAAATTATTTTATGTATTAAATCATGTATGCTGTGTGTGTGCAGCCAGTTACAGTCATACATATTTTCAGAAGCTTGTATTTAATCTCTATAAGAAACAGTCACATTAAGCAGCATGCAAATTACACATTTATTGAGAAAATTACGTATTTTTATTGGAAGATCATGAGGGAGGAAACTATATGGTTCTCCAAAAGAGGAAAAATAAACCAAAACTCCATGTTATGGAGTTGACAAGGTGCTGACGGTGGCGACACAAATCTGACGGTGGTGACACACTAGTAGAAAACAAGATATTATTTCTTTCAAAGTGACAATTAAACCTTAACAACCTTTGTAATAATTTGTAATATCACAAGACACATCATAACAATTCTGTTTTTGCACATGTTCTACATCTTAATAGTTCACCAGCCTACTACTCCTTGATTCCTAAAGTTCTCTGTGGTTGTGTGTTTCGACCCTGCTGGACTTTCTCTCCTTTTGTCTCTGTGCTTGTTTCCAAAACCTTCTCTTCTGTCTTTTTTCTCTTCCTTTCAGATCACTGATGTTCTTTATTTTTCCCTCTTTCACTCTATTTCTCCATCTTTCCTTTATGAGAAACTCTTTCTTCAGCTCAGGCTGGCTGTTAATTTTGTCTCTTTCTTTTTTGATACTCCCTGTTCCTTCTCTTTCGTTTCTCTACTGTCAGCTTCCCCTTTGCTATTTTAGCCTGAAATGTACCATTTTGTAATTACTATAATTTTTCTGAACCTTATGCTTTTTCACAGGTTAAGGATGAATATTCACAACACAATTATGCAATAAGCAATAGAGATGCTATCCAGCCATGAAGTCTGATGTCATTAGCCATTTCCAGGTCCAAACTCCGCTGCAGATCCCAAAGTCAAAGGAACTCTGCGGCATCACTGAGAGTTACAAACTGTCTAAATTCTTTCATCTTTAATAAAATGATCAGTGTGTGGCTCTACCAGGTGTAACATCCAGGCATCCATGAAAACAGAATATATGAAATTTAACAGAGTTAAAGTTAGATTGCTTGTTTCCACCTGAACATGATACACCAGCTCTGCTACCACTTCCAACATAAATGGAGACAGAAAACTAAACAGCAGTGACTATTGTCAGGTTACTGAAGTTGGGCTAGCTGGTATATTGTGATGTGCTACGTGATCGCTGGCGACACAGCTGTGTTAGCATAACATAAACACAGTGAAGCTGGAGGATGAATGCTAACACTTTTCCACTTGATAGAAGTTAACGTGAGGATTCCCGATGGTTAGGCTGACAGTGATCACTGGCTGTTTTTAGGGGCTTGTTCAGATGTAATAGAACAAGATAAAAAGCATTAAAACATTTTAACAGCACAACAGGCTTAATAAACACAGAGTAGTTTGGGCCCGGAAGCAGGATTTACACATCATCACTCAAAGACCAACTCTCGAGGCACAGCTAGCTCAGTTGATGTCACATGATCGAAAGGTTGCGCGTTCAAATCCAACGAGCAGAGGCTATCCTGGGTTGGTAGCTGCCCACTGCATCACTGAGTGAATGGGTTAAATGCAGAGGACTAAGCATTTTCCTACAGGATTAATAATGTATACACAAACAATGAGATTCAAGATAAGGCAAATTTGATAATATTTGACACATCTGTGAAGCAGAAATATCAGTAAAATGCACAGGAAGTAATATGTCTGAAATATTAATAAAAAATTACTTAATATAAACGGTGAACAGCAGACTTTTGTGACATTTGTCAACACCATTAGAAAAAGGGTCAACACCGTCAGACAAAAATCCTGAAGGTGTGGACATCTGATGGTGTTGACAAAATACCCGACTTTTTCTCATAACACATGTTTTTCTGACAGAAGCCATCTTGTTTTTCATCAGTTGCTTATGGCCTCAACAATCTACCTAAATTAAGCTCTTTTTACAAGAAAAAATAATAAAATCTTGGATTACATTGACTTTGGTGTTGACAAACTATGGTTGTGACACAGAGTTTTATCAGAAAGGTGTGCAATAAATGAAATAAAAACAAACAAATTATCACAGCAGTAACCTCATGGCATGCGTATCAAACAGGAAGTGCATCAAACAGGAAGTGCATCAAACAGGAAGTGCATCAAACAGGAAGTGCATCAAAATCAAAATTTAATAACTTTTTATATTCCTATAAATGGCTTGAATTTCTCACTGGATCACTACATCTAAAGCATCAAGTTCCCTTTACCTCGGAAATGAGACGTTCACCAAGTTCAAGCAGAAGTAAGTGAGAAGGTCAGAAAAAAATGAAACAATAAAACAGGCTTTGTTTGCTCCGTAGAACGGGAAACTCATTCGGATGTCATTAACAGTACAGCACTGTGCCTGCATTTTGTAGGCACATTATGCACACCGCGGCGACACGTTCACGGAAGGAGGCGGCGCACGGCGCAAACAGTAGTACAAGCAAAAATAGCAGTCCCACAGGTTCACTACTGCGCATTGCACTATAGTGCAGGCTGATGGATGGAAGTTTGATTGGAGGTAGATATCAGTCACGAGAGGCTGATCTAGTGTTGTGATTCGATAGTTCAGATTTCGTACTTCCTTTTCAAAGACTGCATCTGAAAGCGCCAATCGCATAAGCGAGAGAAGTTGTTTGTTTTCACGGGAAATAACTTTCAGTACCTAATTAATTAGTCAGGCTTTATACTGAGGCTCAGTCATTTACAGTAAATACCAGCGCCTTTGGACAAGTGTCGGATCATCAGCACTAACAGGAAATGTCTACATCTCTCTGCTGTTTCCTGTCTGTGGGCCTCCTCGTGTTTGTCTCTGCAGGTGAGATTCAAAAATTTAGAACCAAACTATTTCCCACTAAGGGAGAGAAAAGTAAAGGAAATCACTGTGGGTTTTCTATTGATTCGTGGAGTTCACGTCCGTTATTGTAATGCAGGTGTGACCAGTAGCGGTTTTAGATACGGGCGACACGGGCGGTTGCCCGGGGCGGCATCGTGGTGGGGGGCGGCATCACAAAAAAAAAAAAAAAAAATTGCTCATACTCATGCTGTCCCGACATCATGCCAGCGCATATTGGGGATGGCATCGGTTTTCTATCGCCAATTTGCTGGGAGTAAGGGCGCCCTCCGTTTGCGAGGTGCGCCTGCTGCTTGCGCGCAGAGAGGAGAGGGCGGGGCGGCGGGGGATTCTCTGACCGGCTGGAGCAGCATCTAATAACCAACTCGCAAAATAAAACAACAAACACGAACACCAGACATTATGATACAGACTTATAATTTGCACCGATGTTTTTCTATACACGAAAAGTGAGCGCGAGAGCCCTCGGTGCGCCTGCTCACTGCTGAAGTGAAAGTAAACTTTATTGTCATCTCCGCTGCAGTCCAGTATATAGAGAGACGAGACGACGAGGCTCCAGTTACAGCAGTGCAACTAAACGAACAATAAATATTTAAGAGTAAAAAAAATTAATATACACTTTAGGACTCGGGGTAAAGGGATCAATAACAATTTAAAATGTATATTTTATATTTTGTTGATTTAAAGTCTCACACACAACCCGTTTTTAAAGTTTAAAAAAAGAGAAAAGTGTCATGATCCTGGGTCTTTTGACCCAGCGTTTTAAGTTTGAGTTTATTTTGTTCATTAGGTTATCTAAGTTCATTTGGTTATTAGACTCCTTGTGTTTTCTTCCCCTGTATTTAAGCTTCCCCTCACCCTTCCTGTTTCATTCTGCGTGTCTTATGTTATCAAGTTTGTATTATCATGTCTGTGTCATGTTTCCTGTTTTATTTTGAAGGAGTCGTGTGTTCTTTGTTCATTGTATTTAGTTTCACTTCGCTTGTCCTGTCATTAGGCTCATGTCAGTCAGCTGTTCCTCCATGTGTTCCCACTTCCCCTAATCACCTCCTGTGTATTTAAGTCCTCTGTTTTCAGTGTGTGATTGTCAGGTCGTCTGTTGTCCACGCCATGTTTCCCATGCCATGCCATGCCATGCCATGCCATGCCATGCCATGCCATGCCATGCCATGCCATGCCATGCCATGCCATGCCATGCTTCCAAGTTTCTTGTCTAGGTTTTTCTTGTTGTTTGTTTAGATTCGTGTTAATTTTGCTTCAGTTTGCCTTGCCCTTTGTTTGTACCTTTTCTACCAGCCATATTAAACGGCTCGCCTTTTGTTAACATTTCAAGTTCTGTTCCTTGGAGTCTGCGTTTTGGGTCTTTTTGTCAACCCATACAGTCTGCCCTCGCCAGACTGTGACAAAAAGAGGAGGAGTGTAGCGACTTCCATAATCGCTAGAGGGCGGGGACTGAGCCTGCCTATTTGCCTGACGCGCTGTCAACTTAACGCAATAATGCGAGAGGTGGAATTGCTTGCTTGTTTATTAAAGTGCTTGAAAAGTTTACAGAGCAACGTGATCGGCTCACGATTCAAACTCTTAAAACATCACAGGCTCTAATGCAACAAGGGGAAACTCGTTGTGCAGCGGTCAACAAAAACTACGGCTACCCAGCCCTCCTCTCTGTCAAAATCAAACCAGTGAAAGCAGTGTTGCCAACTCCTCAGTAAGGAAAATCGCTATTGGTTGTCCTAAAAGTCGCTAGAAGTCGCTAAATGATGTCATCGCCTAATTTGCATGATTGGTCATGCTAATCTAATTGTAACCTATGTTGTTGGAGAGAGAAATAACATTGTGGAAGAGACATAAAGTGAGTAAAAAACGTCCTAAATGTATTTAGAGTTTATTTAGAACTACAAATTAAATTTCTTTTTGCAATTATTGTTTTTTAATGTCACAATTTCAACCCTGCTCCTTTGCCCGGGCTTGGACCGGCAAAAGTGACCCGAAATAGGCGCTCTGGTGGAGTTACTTTGTGTGTGTGTTTATAAGTAGTTTTAAACCTTGTGATCCACAAAACAGCATAAGAGTAAAAGAAAAACTGACTGCGTTACAGCACCCGCTGCTTGTTGAGAGTAAAAGCCATACGCACTTTCACGTCTTTTTTTAGCAACTTTTTTTCTAAAAAAAAGTCACTAAGGGGTCTGAAAACTCGCTAAATATAGCGACAAAGTGGCTAAGTTGGCAACACTGAGTGAAAGACAGACTGACACCGCCCTCTTAATGTCACCGCTACCACCCACGTGACTCCCGTTACACATCACCATAGCAACCAAACAAATGAAAACCCAGTGATCATTAAAATTCAATACATTTAATTATGGTGTTATGGAGTGTTCGCCCAGGGCGCCAAATAGGCTAGGACCGCCACTGGGTGGGACAGAAATAAATAAGTGTGTTGTGCAGGGCTGCCTGCTGCACTGCAACATGTGACATTTATGCTGCACTTTATCTCAGTTTAATGTTGATAACATGTCGTTAATTTGACTGTTGATTTTGATTTTTTTTTTTTTTTTTTTTTTTGACACTTCTTCCATGTTAAAAGCCCCGCGAGCGCACAGGCACAGCAAGTGTAGGGGAGGGGCTAGTGGCGTTGCCAGTAATAAAAATGAACGAACGGGCAGGTTTCCTTGTACGGCCATTGGTCAACGGCTGTACCTGCAGGGGCGGTCCTAGCCATCTCTCTCTCTCTCTCTCTCTCTCTCTCTCTCTCTCTCATACATATGTGTGTGTGTGTGTGTGTGTGTGTGTGTGTGTGTGTGTATATGTATATATATGTATATATATATATATATATATATATATATGGCTGGTGAACCCTGACTATGACATAATCAGGGTTGACAGGTTATGTTTAGGATAAAACATAACCTGTCAAAGTTCTAAACTATATATGTGTATATGTAGGCTACATGTATGCATACATCCACGCACACACTATGATAGTAAACAGTAGACCGACAGTAGACACTGATGTCAGTTATTCAATCTTTTGTACAATATTAATTGGAAGAGATATATTGTTACGAGATATCTAGATAGACATAGATATATATGCGGTACAGTTTGCCCGTGGGCCACTCATGCTTGTGCTGTTGTTGGTCTTCATTGAGCTGCAGATAAAGGTAAACTTATAACATACAAATAGCTGAAGTGAAACCGGTGTTTAAAACAATGAAATGTTTCTCTGTGAAATCTGCTGTTTCACCTTTGGACCCATTTGTCAAACAATCTGCATTCATCCACTGCACAGTGTCATCCACGTCAATCATTGTGCACTTGGGATTTGGTAGCATTGTATAGGAACATATTTGCAGAGACTGGGAACACTTTTCTGTAGGCTCATCGAAGGCAAATTCCAAACAGTAACAAACATGGTTAAATTAAGCAGAAAGAGGTCAGGCGTCTCACTGATGTCATTTGCCAAAGCTGCAGTTGAAAGTTAATTAGACTTTGGGTCTCCTGCAGTCAGAAAGCTTTGCTGTGAAGGGGTCTTTGAAAAAATGACGTGCATAGTTTAGTGGCTTTGAAACTGATTATGCAGAACTGAGTCAGGGTCACTTCCTTTCCTGTGTGGAGATTTGTAGACGTAGACAAACACAAGAACACACTGTATGATGCTGCACAAGAAATCAGAAAAGTCTGCTATCAAAGCTTAGAGATCTACTATTTTTGTTGTTTGTTTGTTTTGACAGCATTTTGTGTATTTTGGGATTTTTTTTTCATGCTAAATATTAAAGTCAGAGCGCTAAGAGAAAGGAATGTTAAAATAGTTTGTAATTTTTCTATAAAACATTATATTGACAGTGTGAGTAAATCAGAAATACACTAAGAGGCTTCAGAAGAGATTTGGTTCCTGAATTTTTCATTCTCTGACTGTTGTATTTATTTTGTTTCACAAATTACACTGTGAGCAGGTGTTTATGTTTGTACATAAACACCTGTACATAAACCAGCGCACAGTGAACATTTGTACTTTGACCTATAACCTCTCTGCTTTGTATTGTTTCCTCTGACAGACCAGAAAACCATCACAGCTGAGTCTGGACAGAATGTCACTCTGCCATGTCGAGCTCGAAACAACAGCAAGATCCTAACTGTAGAGTGGCACCGACCTGACCTGCAGCCAAAATATGTTCTTTTATTTCGGGATGGAAACATTGATCCAGACAACCAGCATCAATCTTTTAAGAACCGGGTGGACCTGCAGGACAGAAAGATGAAGGATGGAAACGTGTCTTTGATTCTGAAGAATGTGACGATTAATGATAGTGGAACATACGAGTGTCAAGTCTTCCTGGAAGAAACACGCTCCTTGCAGTCCATCACAAACATCACCCTGAGTGTCGTTCCTCCAGGTGAGTGAGTAGAGTTGAGTGTGTGTGTGATCAGAGGTGAAGCTGCTTCCTGGTTGTTGATGTTTGTTTCTAAAGATGTTGTTGATGAGACTTTGTAGAAAGCAGCTGGTCTGAGTGATGTGATCAGAGTGCAGTAGATAATGTCTGACAGCAGTTTGAAGAGGAAATGGATTCTGTTCTGTTCTTCACTCATCACCTACCTCAGTGTTTCCCAACCACTGTGCTGCGGCACACAGGTTTGTCGTGGAAGATGATCTGGTTCCACCTGGTTGGTACTCTAAGCAAATGGCGTGACTGGCAGAACAATTACATTCTCTTCCACTAGAGGGCAATGCAACCTGCTCTGATTAAATGTGTCGCCAACTGCCAGTAAAACAGAAGACAGAGGAAATTACATAATTGTCATGCTGTGAGTGTGACAATGCAGCACATAAAAGCAATAAATATTTGAAAAGAAAAATTTGTCAATCTTACCTGGATCCTGGAAAAAATCCCAATACAGATGAAGGCCCTAGCACGAGATGTGGTCAGAAGAAAGCAATTTAAACAAAAGAAAAGGTATCCTGGGGACAAATCAAGCCACTTCTGCTATGCCTGGTGTGCAGGGAAAGAATTATCAACAGGCTTTTCGTGACATTTTTGTTTGGTGGTGTGCCGTGTGATTTTTCTAATTTGAAATATGCGCCGTGGCTCCAAAAGTTTGGGAAACACTGATCTACCTGACAGCTAACATCTCACACCTGTTTCTCACCTGCAGGTCAGCGAGGAAGATCTGTTGGACTGAAAGGCAGTGTGCTAGTTTTAGGTCTGCTTTTTGTTGTTGCTTTTGCTTTTGCATTTTAGAGAATAACAGCGACAGGATCCGTACCAGCCTCCTGCTGAACCACAACAGCTTTGAAACCTCTCAGAACTTTTTCCATCTGAACTCTGACCCATGAATTGATGATGAACATCGAACACGTCCAGAGTTGCTTTGATGTCAAATTTCTCTGACTATCATCAAACCTGTTCAGACTCTGCCAGTCTCTGTGCTGTCTGTCAGAGACTCTGTGAACTACATTGTTTGTTCATCTTCAGTTTCCATAGGATTTGTTTACAATAAGAAGAACTTTGTAAATCAATCAATGAATTCACTGTATGATACAAAATCATTATCCTAATAGTATAGTAGCTTGTAGGTTTTCCGTTCCTCTCAGCCTCCAATTTGTTGTTCTTTATACAACCTGAATTCCAGAAAAGTTGTGACGTTTCATAAATTTGAACAACATGAAAGCTAAGACTTTCACTTGATATGAGCCAATAACTTATTCACAACAGAACGTAATTAACATAAGAAATGTTTAAACTGAGAAATTTTACAATTTAATGCACAAAATGAGCCCAGCATCTTTGATGACATGGAGGAGCATAAGTAAATACATTATGGGCAGGTTGTATGTTTGGAAAGAACTATGAATGCTAAAAGTGCTATAAAGGTTTTAGAGCAACATCTGCTACCCTTCAGATGATGTTTAGTTCAGGGAAGGCCGTTTGTATTTGCCAATCTTTCACCTATAGAGAACATTACAGACGCATAATTAATTAAATGCACAAACTCTTCGGCAAATGAAAACCTATATAAGGCAAGAATTGGACTGAATTTCCAAACCAAAACTCCAGAAAGTCATAACTTCAATGCTCAGACATCTTCACACTGGTTTGAAAAGAAGAGGAGATGCTACACAAACAGGCCCCTGTTTCAACTACTCTGAGACCTGGAGACCTGCATCTGATTTGAAATGAGCTCATTTAGTGCCTGAAAGTATAAAATCTCAGTTTAAACATTCATGTTATCGAAGTCAGCTTTTATTGGCAAAAACCATATGCTCAGAGCACACAGAGGAATTTCAAATTGCAATGCTCCCACAGCCCCCAGCCCTCGAGATAAAAAGATAGAAATACAACAATGTTATGTACAACACAATGCAATATAATACAAAACAATCTTACATAAACAAAAGTGTCCATCACAATCAGAGTGTTATTCATGTTCTGTTGTGAATGAAATATTGGCTCATGCTTTTTGAAAGTCTTAGTTTTCATTTTGTTCAAATTAAATTAATTAATTATTAAATTACTTCTCTGGAATTCAATGTATTTTTGGTTTTTACATTCAAATATGAATAAACTTTTTTTTTTAATCTGTAATTGTATGTTTTTATAAGAAGTCATATTTTGCTAATAAAGAACTGTTAAAGCTTTCTTCTTCTTTTTTTCTCCGTTTCTGGTGATTAGGGCAGGGTTGGTATCTATTTAGAGTGTTGTTTTAGCTCAGAGGTCGGTAACCTGCCCTCTTCTAGCTGTGGCTGCCGGAAGCTTTCGGGGTAAAAAAAAAATATAACTAAGACAATTTTAAACAAACTATTTTTATATTTATTTATTCTATACGCAGTTTTATTAAATGTATTAATAAAACAAAAATTGCAAATATCCACCCCGTCTACCACACCTCTCGCTCTCCCGTGTTTTCCCTGCCAGTGGCTAATAATGAGAGAGCTCCAGCAAGCTAACCGTGGATTAATCCGAAGAACAAAACTCTAGGGGGAAACTGGTGTGTAATTCTCTGTTTGGACTGATTCATTTGCTTTCACCACTTATTACGCTGACTTGCCCGATGTTTAATAACATTTTTTTAATTGTAGTGTCGCGAGACGTTTCCAAGTTTGCTGAAAAGCACCAAGCTGGAGACAAACAAAAAAAAGAGGGACTGGAACTGCTAAGCAGACCAAATGCTTTTTTTAGACCTTGTTCAATAAAAATGCAATTATTGCTGCTAGTTTTCTGGTAGCCCATGAGATAGTAAGACACAACATCCATTCACCGATGGAGACTACATAAAAACATAAACAATTCATAAAATTATCAGTGCACCTACTCTCACATCAAATCTTTTGCTGCAAGACAAAGTCTGGTGGCTGTCAAAGGGAGACGGGCTAAAACAATTTGCTGCGAGTGTGAAACATGTGAAAACTTGCGCTTCACCTACCGAACTGGAAACCGCAGATTGGCTTGAAAAGTTGCACTTCGTGTGTTGGGGGAAAACTGCAAAAGACCCAGGAGAAATAAAGACACAATGAGACAAGGTTACTTTTTATGCTTTAACGTGCGCACGGGTAAGCTGTTCAGAACAACTCACACCGTGAACAGAGGCTTTGCACTCTTTATAGGAAAAACAGTGAGAACAGGATAAGAAAATAATAAACAGATAAAATAAACAACTCCATATGTGGTGCTAGTCTCGTCAGCAGAGAGCTGGGAGAAAGATAAAACAATCTAAAACAATATGTCCCAAAACAGTATGTCTTTGCTGAGAAAGTCTAAAAGGATAATTCTAAACTAATCTAACCATAGACAAAGGGAAGACAAAGGGCATCTTTGTACATTTAAAAGAAGGTAAAGAAACATAGAATCATTTTTCCTGTAACATCCTGGTAGATATAAGATGTCACCATAACAAGCAGAATGAACAAAAGGAAAAACGGTCCTCAGGATGTTTTGGTGTTCAAGCGCAAAATCACTTTTGAGACTACAGAAAGATACATTCTCTCTTTTCCCTTCCCAAGAGAGCTCAGAGCAAGCAATCACATAAAATGTGAGCATTTGCAATATGCAATCATAGTGATGTAAACTGCACTTGGGAAAAGATTCAGTGAAATCAGAAAGGTGAAAGAAAAAGAAACATTATCCTTTCCTGGTGATGGACCCATCACAGTGAACATATCCGTATTTACAGGAGTAAAACTGGGTGATCTTGAATGACCTGTGTAGTATGTTAACACTATTGGAAGTAAAAATAACTTGACTCCAATTTTGAAAACAACTTTTTTTTTTATAAAGCTCTGACTTGTATTACGATTCTGTGGTCTGGGAGAGAGTCCTGTAACTCTGTCTGCAAAATACAGTATATAATGACCAATGCTGGGCAGTTAATTATATAGTTACTTCTTCAAAAAAGTTACTGAGTTTGGCAAACAACAAAGTTTTTTGCAGCTATTTTTTATAAATGCAAACAAGGTGTTTTTTTTAAATAAACATTTCAAACTATTTACAGAACAATCAGCTGTTCTGCATCAAATCTGATGCCACACAAATTATTTGTGCCACTCCAAAATATTATTTCTGTCCACTATGAGATAAAGGAGAACATCAGCCTGATACCTGCAGGCCTGACAGCAGGAGATGTGTCACTCCTGTAACACCTGTAACATTCAGCAGTCGCCTCATTGTCCTGACACACACACAACAAAACTATTGACTACAGTACACGTCGCAAATCTCTCACATCTCAAAACACCGCCGTCACTCCTAAAACTTCCCCCCGTTTCTTTACAACTTGCCATATCCTTTTTTGATTGGTCGACATGGCACTTTTTTTCGACCAATAGGAAAGGGTGGGGGTGTTTTTGGTTTTGTTTTTGCAGAGCGCTTTCGAGACTTTTTTCTTATAGAACGTTTCTTCCCGCAGTAAATGTAAACAACGACAGTATTCAGGAAGAAAACCTTAAAACATTACAGATATTTTTTATCATAACTCTGGTTTTACGTGGCCTATCAACACAATTTAAAAACTGGTATAAAGTCCACACTTTTTCCGTCATTTGTTCCATCTGTCCTGCTCACATCTCCAATGGTTGTAAACGTTGGCTTCGCTCCACGTCAGCCACGTCGCTTTGCTAGCTAAAACACTGGTGTCGGCACATGAGGAGGCTGTCATAGCCTGTCAACGACGTCGATTAGCTGCGTATATACGAATGTGAATCGCATTATTGGCTGGACTATGGAATAAGGTGGCATCGTTCTAATATCATACTGGAGCAGCCAGTCACTCACTGACTAACACTGCAAAACAGAATTGTTAAAGTTTTCATTTTAATTTCAATTCAGGTTAGAACTTTTTTGTGCGGAACGCAGATTTTTTGTGCGCAGGGACCGTGCGCAGCTTAGAGGGAACATTGCTCTAGTGTAACTCCCTCCAAGTTGAAAAACGAACACAAGGCGTTCTTGATTTACTGGCATTTATTGCACACGGGCGCCACCAACGATGCCACCAGAGATGCCGTAACGATGCCGTGAGAACTCATTGGCCGCATTAACTTGCAGGGGTTAATGAAAACGCTTCTTGTAGTGTCACTCTTTCCCACAGTCGGACACTCCGTTGCATGCGTCTACATGTCTCGTCTCTACCACCACCAGAGAGAGACGAAAGCATGCTGCGCTCTACCAAGTGTAGCGTGTACCAGAATATGCCGTCGACCTCAAACAACAGACTAAACATTGGTTCCACCCCGGAAACATTCTGTAAACCCTTGTAAATGTATTTACACCAACAACATACATTACATCACACACATATATTAACAATAAAGTATTTCACTTATTCATTGTAACTTGAACCATAAAATTGTCTTAAATTGCATAACTGCTGCTGACGGCAGCCACATTTAGTGTCCGTATATAAACATGTGTGAGGATGGTGTTAATGTAAAATGTGAATCACAGTGTTCCAGTCTTAAGACTTGACGAATGAAAAACAAGATACTGCAGAGTATTTTTTTTATACTAAGTAAAACTTCAGGTCCCCACCACTATATTTAAACCAATAGAAAGCTGGTGCTCAGAGGAAGAGGGCGGGCTTTACTTGGTGTCAGTGACAGAAATGAAAAAAAGCTCAAATGAGTGAGAAGGACGATGAAGGAAACATCTGTGCTGTGTCTGCTCTGTAAGTAGAATCTCTGTGTTTGTTTGAATTCTTGTACTTTGACTGTCTGCTCTCCTGATAACTGATGATGGAGGAGAAGACATGAAAAACAAATCAGGCTGAATTCAAGTTCAAAACACCACGAGGACCAACTGCAGGTCTGAACTGACTCTTTATCTTTGCTCAGGAGTCGAGGAAACACAGCAGGCAGTGAAAAGATCAAATCATTCACTCATTATATCAACACAGCTGCACAGTGGACACATGACTTTACTGTGTTATTTACACTCTGAGTTTACACAGTGTACATAAAAATATGATCACTGTAAGAGGTGCTTTCTAGATGAAAACTTCTTTTGTTTAATTTTATTTCAGTTATAACCTTAAAGAAGTTCCTTCAGAAAATGTGGCGGAAAATGTTTGAGGTTAAATGGTGATTCGATACAGGCAGGATGTGAAACTGCTGACCAGTCCACATTAACTCTCCCACAGTGGCAGCTGGGATACAGTGTAGCTCTATTGTCAGTCTGAACTTTATTTTAACCTATTCCTGATATCAAACAGAAAATGAGAATATCAGAAAATGATATATCAGAGAGAGATGAGTTTGTGTGGAGTTGTTCTTTATGTTCACCTCAAACCAACCTGAGTGTCATTTCTCTTTAGTTCTGATCTCACTGCTGAGCTGCACAACAAACCAAGGTCAGTAACCTTCTTCTGTCACAGTTTAAACCTGAGAAATGCTCACTGATATGACCTGATGGGGTTCATGTTTGTGGATGCTTTTTGACAAATGTCCAACAGATCATCAGTTTTTCATTTTAACCCTCACAGCTCGTCTGACGGTGAGTTCCAGCAGCTCTCAGTTCTTTATAAGAGACTTTGTGTCTCTGAGCTGTGAGGAGGACGACAGCTCTGCTGGATGGACTCTGAGGAGAAACACAAGCACACGACAGAGGACTCAGTGTGGAACAGATGGATTTGGGCAACCAGCTGGTCGCTCCTGTAAAATCACACTTTTCCTGTCAGACAGTGGAGTTTACTGGTGTGAGTCCAGAGAGGGTCCCATCAGTAACATGGTTAAGCTGACAGTCACTGGTAAGCTGAGTGTGTGGAGTTAGTGTTGATGAAGCTGTGTGTAAATGGATGAAATGCTGTAGTTTGTCTCTGTGTTGAGGTGGATCAGTGATCCTGCAGAGTCCTGTCCTCCCTGTGATGGAGGGAGATGACGTCACTCTGCTCTGTAAAACAAAGACCACTCCCTCCAACCTCCCAGCTGCTTTCTATAAAGATGGCTCCCTCATTGGGAATGAGTCAACAGGTCACATGACCATCCAGCATGTTTCCAGGTCTGATGAAGGCCTCTACAAGTGTGACATCAGCGGTCATGAAGAGTCTCCATCCAGCTGGATCACTGTCACAGGTGACACACTCACCTGTCTGTGTTTCCGCAGGTTTCAACATTCACAATGTGACGACAACTTAATGACTGTTTTGCTTTATTTTAGAGAAGCACACCACAACTTTTCTCACTGTGCTGTTGTCTGTTGGATCAGTCTGTGTTGTGGTTCTACTGGTGTTACTGGTTCTGCTGCTGAGATGGCGTGCTCCTAGGAAACCTGAAGGTGAGACCTAGACTTCTGGATTTTACATAAATAAAGTTCTGCTGAATAAGCTACACAGCTATTGTGATTAGATGTTTTTATATTGACTCTTACTCCCAATGGAAGTAACTCCAAGCTGTTACACAGTAATGAAAACACATGTTCTTTTTTCTATTTCTTATTCTCTTCATTTACCCCTAACTAATTTCGGGTTAAATGTTGTTGTTTTTTTTTCAGCTGAAAATCCTGAAGAAGTCCAAGAAAACCAAGTCACCTACACTGAGGTCATTTTATCAAATCGTCTGCAAAAACCAGTCAAATCAGAAAGAGGTAAATTTTCTTTTATTAAGATTTGTGGTTGGGGGCTGGGTTGTGGTCCATAAAATTAGAACACTTAATGGAAGTGTAGACATTTAGAATTACGTAATCAAAAAAAATATATAATTAAATAAATAAATAAACATAAATTATAGGTTCAGCCAAAGAGTACCTTTGAAGAAGAAGAATACCTATGTAGGTGAACACAGAGGGCTTTCTTCCAAAGAGCCTATCAGCAGCTTAAACAGGAAATAAGTGACCAGTCACGTTATTGCATGGAATGGAAAGTTTCAGCTACTCCTTACTTAATGTGGGTCAATTGTTTTTTTGTTTTATTTTCCATTATTATGCGTTCATGTTAATTTAATAGACTACATGCAATAGACAGATTAACTATGGCATCACCTGCAGGTTTCTGGGCCTGACATTTTGAAGCTTCAACGTTAGTTCTCTCAACAAAACTCAAAAATTTAACACCTCCACCTTGGCCATCTGTCTTTTTGTTAGTACCACCATCTCCAAACCACACATCCTATCACACATCAGATGTATTATTTGTCATATAATGACATTAAAAATGGTCCCAAGGGCACCAACAGAACAAACACTGTGTAGAGATCCAGCTCAAGAACCCCAATTAGCTGAGGTGAAGCCTAGCATACAGCTAATAACAGTTTCTCCATCCACCTGTAAGTCAAAGAGGCCACGCCCCTATGAATGCAAACTTTAAGTTTTAATACAGTTTAAACAGGTGAGTTGTTTTTTTTTTTTAATCTACTTAAGGAGTCCTGATACCAGAGATTTTGTAGGTGGTACTAATACCAGTGGAATTACTTTAGTCTCAACACAGAAAAACAAAATGATCATTCAACGTATTTAAACATAAACTCCTTTTTTAAAAAAAAAAAAAAAAAAAAAAAGAGCTGTTTTAACACTAACAAGGTGGCTGTTCATTTATTTAAAATTTTAACAATATATTTTGTTCCGGGACAAAACTGAAATGTTAAGATGTTTGCTGAGTGGCCAACTTATGTTACAGTTACATTGTTAGAGTTACATTACCATACCATATGAATTTTTTTTTTAGTCACTGAAAAAAAATTACCCTTTCGAAAAGCTCTGGTTCTCTCAAACAAACTAATAATGAGATTTCAGGAAAATGTGAGAAGGATAATTTTACTGTGAACTGAAACTTACTGAACTTATTTTTGGATGCCAGTCCTTTATGTGCTTCACTAAACTGGAAGTATTTTCTTACAGTAACATTGTTTGCATTTCCTTTTTGCAAAACAGTTATCACCCTTTGGTCCTTCCCTTTAAATGTGAAGTACTTCCCGTCTCTGTCTTTCCTGTCAGTGAGTTGGAGCAAAGCTAACGCAGCAGCTGTACCAATCAATATCTCCCACGTTGCGGCAGTCACAGGTCTGCCTCACATAGGCCAGATGTCAGATGTGTTGTGAATTCTGCCAGTGTCATAACTGAGCAGTAAATTTAGAAGCAGCTCAGATTAATCCCAGATGTGTCTGGGTTTGGTACACACAATATACATACACAGTTGTTTCTCTAATACACAAAGGACTAAAAGACCAACAACTTCCCACTTCTGTAAAATTCTGTCTAAAAAACCCTCAGCAGCAACTTCCTGTTATTGATTCCAGATGACTGTTCTCTGAGGTCGTGACATTTCTCACCACAGTCTTGTCTGGTTTGTGTAACAATTGTTTTGTATTTGAGAGCAGGTTTCATTTGTGTCCTGTGGAGAAATTTTGGTTAGAACTGAAAGAAATTGACATCTGCTTTCTTTCTTTTTTCACACAAACATCCCCAGTTTCATGTGGTAACCACAGTTTCACAGCAGAGGGGATGTTTTTTTGTTTTGTTTTTAAAAGGACAAAGCTTGAAAATTGTTGCTATTTATAAAAATTCCTTATTAATCTCTAAACAAAAGTAGTATGGTTATGTTATGTTATGTTTTTGTCCCTTTATTCATTTCTTTGTTTTATTGTGCAGAGAACGATCCAGCTGCACTCGATACAACACAAGATGTCACTGCTGGGCAGAGAATAAAAGGTACAGCTGCTCTGTACCTTTGTACAGAGTTATTCTAACCACATCATGACTTAAGCACAGAATATCTCCTTTCTGTCAGAGAGAAAACTGTAATGCTGTTTGAACTGTGTTTGTGTTCAGACTTTAAACCAGAGCCAGACGTCGTCTACTCTTCAGTGAAGTAGTCCACCAGTCCAACCACTGACGTCCAGCTGCTGGTCCCTAACTGGTCCGTTCCCTCTTCCTGTCGTTCTCACTGAATTAGACCTGCATGCTCACAATGTATTTTTAACTTGAGTTTTCAAATTTTATCCTCTACTAATATGATTCATGTCCTTGACTGTTCTTATGTTTAATTTATTCATGTTTGATGGCGTTTGTTCTCATGCTTATCACACTCATTTAGTTACTCTTCAGCAGTAATATTGTCATGTGTTTTCTCATGTGTGCGCTTGGAAAAGATATCAAATGGAAAATTTGACTTATTTGTTTGTAGCTAACTGATATGTCCTTCTTTCAATCATTCAGTGGCTGAAAACAGAACAGCTTCATTCCAGGATGTGCATGTTTGAGACTAAAGGGCTGGCATTTTTATATCATCCAAAAACCAAAGAGCAAAGGGATTTGTGTCTCCTTCTGAGATTGAACTGGGGATGTATTTGTTACACCATTCTCTAACAGTTAGAGAATGGTGTAAACCAGGGGTGGGGGAACTCCAGGCCTCGAGGGCCGGTGTCCTGCAGGTTTTAGATGTGTCCCTGATCCAACACAGCTGATTTAAATGGCTAAATCACCTCCTCAACATGTCTTGAAGTTCTCCAGATGCCTGAACTAATCATTTGATTCAGGTGTGTTGACCCAGGGCAAAGCTTTGGAGTTTTCTACCCCTGGTGTAAACTACAACACAATGAAGTCACTTTAAAAAAAAAAAAACATTAAGAAGATCTCATGTTCTTACCTCCTCAGCAAAGAGCTGAAAGTGTTTGGTGTCCGATAATTTACACGCATGATCAGTCAGGCTGATTCATGTGTCCCAGCTCTTGGGCTAAACGACTCTGAAGCCTAACATAGCCAAAACATCCATTTAGTACGGTGGCCCTGAAGTGCAAATCACACCAACAAATTGCTAAACACAACAACAAATTAGAGTCTGCAGCTATCTACTGTTAACTCCAAGTATTACAGTTATACAGATATAATTTAAAGACAAAATGTTTTCATCTTTCACTTTAGAGAAATAAAACAGGAACTGAGCAGGTTTGACTTGTTTGTTCTAGGGATGGACCGATCGGATACAGTATTGGTATCGATCCTGACCTAAATTACTTTATTGGATATCGAGGAGAAATAAAAAATGTAACCCGATCCATTAAATGTCACAAAAGCACCTCATAAAACTTGCGTAACCCAGGTTGTGACCTTAGCATGAAGGAGCAGTATGCGTCACACAGTAGAGTAGCTGTTGTGTATGAGGCCTGTCGACATTGTAGAGTTGCTTCACACTGAAAGCATCTGGAGCCAAACCGGCATTTCATCTCTGAGCTATCGCAGAGAAGTAAAGCAAGTGAGTCAGATCATTTTTGAATGTTTGCAAAGCGATCTTGCATTAAGCTTAACAACCGATATATGGAGCTCTGACGTCTGTGCGTTGTCACTGCTAAGTCTGACCATACAAAAGATAGACTCAAGTTTTACTTTAAAAAACAAACAAAACTTTCATACTTGTGTTAAGGTTTGTATGGAAATGACATAACATTCAGCATCAGGTTAAATGTGATAGAAACAGCTTACTGACATTCATCTTGATAACAGATGAGTGTCATGAAGCCATGTTTGCTTTCATTTGCACTTATTTCCACTCTGGATGTCTCTTTACATGTAGCTTTAAGTATGAAAGGGTCCATTTTAAGTTGTGGAATATAAAGATTATTTTGTCCTGATTTTGCACTTCTTTTTTCAGAACAAAAGAGCTTTTGAAATCTGCATAAAATTGCATTTTAAATTATTTTTGAATATTACTTTAAGTACTTAGATTTTAAGTTCTGCTAAATGTTTAAATAAAAAGATCAGCATTGTTGAACTGTGAAATATTTTGGGTGCTGTGTATTCTTTGCATTTTAAAGTGTTAGGTCATACTCAAATTTAAAAAGACCAAATACAAAATGCAACAAGATATAAAAAAAAAACAGTTTTATTAATTTTAAAATACACTATATAGGCAGATGTCCAAATTTATGATATCGGTATAGTCATAAAAAAATAGTATCGTTCCATCTCTAGTTTATTCTCAGTATCACACTCGTATTTTTTTTTTCAGTCAAATTTGATCCATTTGAAAGTTTTATCTTGGAAACATTTTATTAATTTAAACTGGATTTCAACACACAAAATAAATTATATTACTTTGCTAACGATTCTGTGTTTTATTCACAGAGAAAAACAAAAGAAAAACAAAAATTGAAACAAGAATTGTCCAAAAAATAATTAGACAAGGACTTCCTGAAAGACAACAACTCTAAAGTGAAGACCTACACAGGAGTTTCGTCCCTCTGCAGCGCCTAATCTCCTCAATGTTTTCAGCTGGTGCTAATTGGTCACACCTAGTCAGGTGTGGATAAAAACTTACCTGAGGCAAGCTTGAGTTCACTTGTCTTTGCCTTGGTGGTACCAGTCATTTTAGCCAACCTGGTATTTCATTTTAAGATAAAACTAGTGATGGGCAAATGAAGCCCCATGAAGCACTGAAGCTTTTCATCCAATTGGTTCACCCCAGCGCGAAGCTTCTTGAAGCTTCATTTGCTCTAGCAGGACACCTACTGGACGTAAAAATAATAGCTGGCATGAATTTGAAGAGTGTGGCATTTTGCACACAGCCTGTAAATGTCAACAACAAAAGGAGTGTGTAAAACATGTATATTGTAGTGATGGCAGTATACTGTGTATATTTATAGTGGCAGTATGGGAAATGATTATTTGGAAATGTTTGAAATGGAAATGATCATTTACTGTGAGGTGAGGTGTGGTTGGGGTGTGGACAGTAGTTGTGCTTTTGTAACGTTGAGGTATGGACAGCTACACACTGAGGCTTTGAGCCTCAGTCCTGCCTGTTCACATTTTATTCTGTAAAAACTAAATTTTCACTGCTTTTATAACCTTTATTGGGGAGAACGTAGCTAGGATTTAATGATTTAACAAGTCTTTTGAATCCTTTGTCCTCCACAATGCTAAATGGCTGGGAGTCCTCAATCACCATGCTGACCAGGTCTTCATCTATTTGAGATTGTTCTCCTGAGGAAAGACAATAAAGACAAAGCACAAATATAAATATCACACACGTAACTTATAACAGTTGTATAATATTGTTATATCATTTAGTAACATTACTGCATCCTATATTATCATTGCATTTGATGGCTCACCTGGTCTTGCTCCACAATCGGTGTCCCCCTTATTCTCATGCAAAGCTCTGTAGTGCCTAAGCATGGATGAGGTGTTGTTGTTGTTATATCCCAGCTCCCTGGCACATAGCAAACACTTCACCTTGTACAAAAGTCAAGACAGCTCAACATAAATTGTATTGCACCATCAGTATTATGAAAATACATCTTCTGTAGAAATTTACATACCTTGTTGGGAGGAATAAGATCAAAATGTTCCCACACAGGGGAGGACATCCTCCTCTTCTTAGCTGGCTCCATTCTCTCCTGACTTTCCTCACTCTCATAAACCTCCAAACGGTCTCCAAACTCTCACTAACCGCAACTCTCCATCAAACACCCACATTTTTGAATGAAGTCTGAGGGGTTTATATCGCTGTCATATCTCGCGGCAAAGTTCGAACCACTTCATGAACCAGTCACGTGGTACAGCCGGGCAGCGAGGCTTCGGACGTCATCATTTTCAGCTCCTCCCATAAATGAAGCAAGCCTCGATACGCGCTTCGCGGAAACGCCCCTCCATTACTCGACACACGCTCCGAAGCCTCGATACAGAACGTCCCATCACAAGATAAAACCTCTTCTCACTAACACTCTGGTATTCATCTCCTTTTTTTATGTTTCGGCTTTTGAGCCGGGTAGTAACATAGGGCTGCCATCTCTTGCTTTACAAATGGGCATGCTATAACAAATTAGCCCCATCTTACCAGATACTCACAGAAAAATCTCATTTTCAGATGCTCTTGTTGACTTTGATGCGTTTAAGACTAAACCTTCTTGAACATGTTGCACATCTCTTTGATTTTAGCTTAAACTAAAACCACTGTGTTTAACATTACTGTAAATTTACTGTACGCTCACCTCAGCCCATTGGTGCACTGGGCTAAAATACATTGCATACGGGCCAGTGTGCCACACCAGTATGTTGAGATGTTTGGTGACCGTGTGACAGTTATTGACTATTTTGAAGTTTTTATAGAGAGAACACAAAATTTACGCGCTAAGGCAGAGACATATTCCACTTACAAAAGTAGGCACACAATTAAATATCAATTGATGAACTGTTTTCCAGTTTGTTTTGAAATGTTTTTGTTTTTTTGCATTGTTTGTTTGTTTTGTTTTTCCCCGAAGCAGCTAATAAAGCACAACGGAATACAATTTTGCCTCTTTCTTGTAAGCTTCTATAATAAAATGACAAAATAATGCCAGTTATAAATAAAGACAATTTAATAAATTATGAAACACTTATTTTATTTCTATTGGATCTGAACATGTTGTGTAATACTACAACCTGAAAAGACAAATAGATTGCGTTGGCCTGTACAGGAGATAAAGAAAACATTTTAACGACAGCTATAAAATGAAAAAAATCAGAAAATAGATACGCCAAAGTATGTATGTTGTGAATTACATTGGTAGTATTTTAAACCTGATCTACTAATTCACAGTCAGTGAGTGATAGAAAAACGGGTAAAATAAAACATGAAGTGCAGAGTACAGGAAGATGGGTCCACCCTAATGTGACACCGAACCAAAAATCTTAAAAGAAACCTGCAATATTAGAGTTCTGTCTAAACGGGTGTAACTGGAATACTGCCTCAGTTTTCTTAGCAAGCTTTTTTTCTCTCTCTCTTTTTGATTGTCATTGCAACATCCACGGAAATTCTGACCCACTGCTAAACCTTTACCCCACATGTTTACATCTGGCATCACACATGTAATTACAAAAGCTTTGGTTGTCCACACAACTAAGTCACAAAAGTGTGACTTTGTAACAAAAATCTGGTTTGGACCTGCTTGTAGTAGATGCGTGTCTGTTTCAAATCCACTGTTCCATCAGTTAGCCTCAGACAGAACTTGTCATCTTCACAGGCCTGCAGGGGATTGTTGCCTTTTCCACAACATTCACAGTTAACGAGAGCATCAGTGGTCGATGATGAAACCACACTTCTCCGCTTTAAGCTCTCTGTGCTGCAGCTTACTCTGTGAGGTATACCATTCTGTAGCTCTGTCTTCATTTTCTTTTCCCCATTTGATTTGTTGTGGTTCAGTGTCTGAGAGCTGATGTGACAGTTTTTGTGGGTAGCACACTTTCTTCACAGTTGATAACGCAGGAGTGGCATTGGAGGCAGACATAACATAACAAATGTATGTTTGGCACAGTGATTCTTCCTGCCTGTGCTATGTGCCAAAAGTCATATTTGTTGCGTCCCCTTGTTTTCATGGAGACATGTAAGTGTTTTGGGGAGGACACAAGGCTGGACAGGGTCTGCATATAAGTGGCGGAATTCCTTAATAACAGAACAGAGCCCCGACCATTGTGCATGCATAAGATCAGTG